ATGAGTTGTTCATTTATAAAGGCTTGATATTTCATTCTCAGAAATGGCATTAACATCCTTAGTGACCTGCTTACATGTTCATCAGTTTACACCAAGGCACATGTGACACCAGTGACTACTTGTGGACTATATGTATATAGTGCGCTCCACAGATTTCCTGCACTCCAAGGAAAAAGACAGGGGAAGTTCATATAATAAGCCGTAGAGGGTGGGAGTGGATGAACCATGTTAAAGAGTAACCGCCCGCACAGGACTCTCTGAAGTAAAGCGAATGTGACTGCAAGGAGGAACAATATATCAGAATGCAAGAACACAGTTTGAGCAGAAGCAGAGCAAATTTAGGTGCAAACAGGGGCTATTTTTATTGCAAGGGCAGGGTTTTGATGAAAAGTAATACACAATTTGAACAGTCATGTGCTCGAACTGAAAGACCACACTCTTGAATAAAGATAGGAAAAAACCTCCATAACATGTCTGCCAAATTTGAAAGAAAGTCAAAATGAATTGTGCCAGATATAATTAACTCCCTACTGGCAGTTCTTATAGGAAGAGGAATGTGAGGTCACTTTGACTTTGACGTCCTGACACCAACCTAATCAGTAAATATTGTACCAAATTTAAAGAGATTTCCTCAAGCTTATCTTAATCTCATGTTCAAGAAAAACATAAACATACATTGCAATGCCACTGTGACCTTGACCTTGGATTTCCAAAATCAAATCACTTGATCCTTCATAGTGTTCCAGATATATCACCTTCAGAAGGCAAACATGTGCTTTGTGAGGCCACTGTGACCTTTGACCACCAAAATCAAAACAATTTCTGCTTGAGTCTAATTGAATATTCGTGCCAAATTCGTACCATTTTGGTTTTCTTGAGATCACATTCATGAGAATGAGATGGATGGACAGACACCTGAAATCAAATTGCCTCTATGCTTCAGAAGCATAAAAACAAAGAGAGGCTGTGGTTTAGAAGGTAGAGCAGGTTGTCCACTAACCAGGGGGTTAGCGGGTTGATCCCAGTCTCTCCCAAAGTGTCCTTAGGCAAGACGCTGAACCCAAAATTACCCCTGACAGCTGTACTGGTTCTGGAATAGAGATGGAGAAAGTGCTGAAAATAGATGCAATGTATGAATTGGTGAATGGAAAAAACGCTACTGCATAGTACAATACAGACCTATTGGTATGTTATATTTATATTTATGGGGCAGGTCATTGATTTAACCTACTTATGTGTATCTTTTATTAATATTTTCCTCCAAACAGAATCAACATGAGCTAGTGAAAGGTTTATATAAAAGACAAAAGGGGTAAGGCAATGTAGGTACAATTTTGATGCTGAGCTATTTTTGCCCTGTTTTGGGGTATGTTTGATTTATTATTATCAAGTGTAAAACTCAAGTTATACATTCAAGTATTTAGCACATCAGTATGTATGTTCAGGACACAGTGTCAGATGTCCTCATTGAGTTTAATAGACAACTTGTATCATGGCCAAATTCCTGATAAACCCTTATCTTATTTTTTTGATGGTGACCAAGTAGGCATATGTGCATTGTTTAATGATACTTTTTCTTTTTATGTGTAACATTTTAATATAGACTCACAGTAAACAGGCCCTTAACAGTTTTTATTTTGTTGGCCGTTAATTATAGTGGTACCATCAGGCAATTAGAATAATATTTAGTTGGACACATGAGCAAATAATTTTTCATTTACCGTGACAGTTGACATCTAGCTTATTCCTGCTGGTGGCAAATTAACACCATAAGTTGGCATAAATTGGCAGATACTTTTTTTTTTTGAGTGCATCAGCATCCCCTATAGGTCAAAATAATAAATGGTCTGTATTCATATAGCACTTTACCTGGTCTTGATGACCACTCAAAGTGCTTTACAGTACATGTTTTTGCCATTCACCCATTCAGTCATACAAAGCCAGCACTTCTCTTTCCCTTCAGAATGGGGAAGACTGGGATCGATCTGGTTAGAGGACGACCCAAGCAATCAAAATAGGTGTATTTCCATATATGACTTGATCATTTTTACCAAGATTAATGATGATTTCGACAAGTTGGTAATGAGTTCTGACCTTTTTTCCACTACCTACTCAATTCCAAATTATTCAGACAGACAGCTAGAAACCAGCTGATGAACATAGCGGAGCAGATAAAGAGCCAGATATAGTTGGTTGAGACCAAACATAAAGGCAAAAGGCATAAAGACCACTCCATAGGAATAACGTGCAATTTTCTGTGAATATGTTTCTACTGGGTATATACATAGATTCTTCTATTCTCCTCCTGTCTCCTGTCAAGTAGTGTGGGAGCCATGGCAGCTTTAAAAGGTGATAATAATATTAACAATAAGTTAATGTGTTTTC